GAGAATGGGATAGAAGGTGACCTGAGTGGTGAAACAAGTGGTTCAAGTGACTATACCATACTGCTCGAAAGCAATGATGACCTCAGCGAGGAAAACTCAAATGCAGGTGTGTTTGCAATCGGGGAGCTTTAATAATGACTTATGGACATATTCAAACATGCTAAGACATGACAGTTGCTCTCAGTTTTTTATTCAGTGTATTGCAGGATTAAATATGATTGAATATTTGCTTTAAATTTATTTTCTGCTAATGAATTAGGTTTCATTGTCTGTTTTTTCCTCAGAGAAAAGGTCCCCATTGGAACTACACCCCGCTGTACCAACAAAGTCAAACAATGCAGCCCTGGCTTCACCACTACCATCCAGGTCAGCCTCGTCCCATGCATCCAGGGCTGTTAGACGTCCAGCAACTGCACCTGCAGATGATGATGTTGGTAAGTCCCCTAACAACAATAAACCCTAACCCCGGGTTTCCACGGGAGCCGTCAGCAGCACGTTACTGCAGCAGCACGTCTTGCTCGCGTAAGCTGCTGCTTGGCCCTTCCCACGAGACGCGAATCAGCAGGGGAGCAGCTGTCACCGACAGAGCACGAAGTCACACGAGTGACTTCGTCAGTAAACACAACAACAAGCAGGAGAAAACTACAACATGGCTCCAAAATATTTGTGTTTTTATGTTCTGTCCGTTTTATAATCGCCAATACGGACCTGAAAAACAAAGGAGACCGCTAGCTAGGTGATAACTTCTCACGGGGCCGCACAGTTAGTAACCTTTTTTAAAGTAAAGCGACCGGAAGGCAGTACGTTCTTTATTCTGAAAATCTCGGGAGCTTCTCTCCATTTCCGCGTCCGATTTCCTGTCTTTCCTTCCCCAAAAATGTCGAACTTGACCCGTTTCAGAGGCGTCGCGCGTAGGAAATAGAACCGGCGCGTAAAGGCCGCGACATGCTGCTCCTGAGACGCGGCCGACTCGCGCTGCTGACGGCTCCAGTGGAAAAGGTTCTGTTGACCACAGCGGTTCCTATCAGCAGCTATGACGTGCTGCTGCAGTAACGTGCTGCTGACGGCTGCTGTGGAAAGCCGGGGTAACCCTCCATCCACACCGAGGAGCACTTCTCTGCTTCAAACTTAATTCTTTATAGTCTAAGGTCTGGCTCACATCTGCTGTGGTGTGCAATGTTTCAGGCACGCTCCAGAAGCGTGTTGCTGTACTGCATCTGTAAAGATAGGATAGGTAGAATTTTTGTTGCAACACGGTTCTGGGATGCATCAAGCTTCACATTTAAAATATGGCCAGACTAAAATAACACACAGTGGAAAGTGGAAAGCATCTGTTAAACTTTGAAACAAGACTAATGCAGAGTTATGATTCCTTAGTTATGTAAACATTACTTCTTCACTGGTGACTAAACAGCTTATCTGCTTCCTGTATATTTTGATGAGAGCAACAGTGTTGATTGGGGTTTTAATGTTCCAAGTGTTTGTTCCACTAATCATAATGCTATGGCAATAACTCAAATTGGTGTGCAAAATTAATGTGACATATCTCTCATACTATCTTAGAAGTGAGTCATAGTGTTGCACACTATCACCAGACAATAGTAGTAAAGTAAAAATTCTTTACACATGTAAATCCATTATGTGAGTCATATGCTGCAACAGTGTTATTTTATTTTTATTCAATATCTCAAAGTTACTGTTCACACTGATTTCAACACTACACAAAGTAAAAAATACTTGTACAATGATTTTATTAAACTTTTTCTTTTTATAGATGATTCTGTTCAAAGTAACAACAAAAATACGGGATAATGTCTTTAGAAAAGCACACACAAAGGGGAAAAATTATCAGAACATCTTGGGTCAGTTCTTTACCTAAAATTAGTTAACCTAAACATACATTTTTATATTAAACTAAAAACAGTAACAGAAAATCTACAACCTTAACTCATTCACTGCCAGCCGTTTCCTGATCGCTAACGGCCTTCGCTGCCAGCATTTCTCACCGTTTTTACTGTTTTTTAAGAGTCACAGAACGTTGCGTGCTAGCATGATGTCGATGCCAAAACAACCTAAACAAAGAGTAGACTCACCTCTTACATCAGGAAGAAGCCGTGTGTTTCGAGCGTTATCCGTTCTTTCATAATCCGTTGTCGAATTGTGATCGGCAGACGCTTTTCCGGTTCGCGCCTCACTTTTTTTTACAGGAACGGCCCAAAACGATCTCGAAACACATGGATGGTCTGCTTCCTGATCATGTGATCTGTGATGTATGCGGATGAAGATCGGCTTCAGGGCTGAGATGTTTGTTCTCTCAGCGCGGGGGCTCGTTCCAATGCTCAAACAGTAAAACAAATGCAAGTGACGACTTTATTCGTCATTGGCAGTGAATGAGTTAATAGAAATGACTAATTTGCAACGTTTTTGATTTAGTTAAGTTTTGTTTTACACAGTGTCTTAAAATGATTCTCTGCTTTCCCTAGGAGACTATGACAGCAGGAAGATGCAAGCAAGACACTACAAAACCTTGAGCAACATGTACAAGAAACCCAATGCAAAACCCAACCAAAGTGACGTCGCTCAAATCTTGGACCTGGAGTTTGAGGCCAGAAGAGCTTTCATCGATTCCGATGTTACAAGAGAAGAAGACAAACCCACTAAATTATTTGAGGCATACCCATGCTTCAAAGACATTCAAAATGTAAGTTTAACTACAATGACTTAATGTTCTTGCTCTATCAGTATAGGCTAGTTATTCATTTACTAACTTGGCTCAACTCTGCCATAGGCAATGGATGAATTGCGTCGCATTGTTGGTTGCTACAACTGCAAATACATAGATCAAATGAAGAGTAAATGGGCAGAGTTTTGTTCTAAGGTGCAGTACTATGGTGTTTGGAAGAAAGCCCTGAAACCACCTCTTCCTTTGGATGTACGTGGAGGTAAGTTACAATTACATACATTAAATCCATAAATCTGAAATGTTCAGACGTCATTAAGAGACATTTTTGGTCCACAGTGGATTTTACCATCGCTCTCTTCAGTGCACTCCCAACGCTTTTTCCATCACCAACTACACCACCAAAGCGACTTGGAAATGCCAGTGAGGCTCTCCTTCATGTCCTACAGGTAAGAATAGCTCTTGACAGTACAAGCCAATGTAACTTACTCTATTGTTATTTTGTATTTTCATACTCAAAAAGAGAAACTTCAAAGTTCAGCTCCATGGATAATAAATCAACGTTTAATATTCCTTTGTTGGCATTCAAAAACTGCTCCAGAGGAGAGAGACAGTGCAGAAACATTGCTTAGGTAGAAGCTGAAAATAGTGTATTGGAAAGATTTTCGAAAATAGATTCTGTGCCTGAGTTAAAAATACAGTTAAAACGAAAGGAAAAATCACAAATGAAAGTTTCCAAAACTATAGACATTTCATGCTCACTATATCAGTTCACATTTATGAAAATAAAATATGTCCTTTTAATTTCTTCTGTTCAAATAGTAAATCAACTGGAGCGTTGTAAACTCAGTGCTTTTTGTGTTATTCTGTTGTCGCATGAAAATATGTTGTATGTCTCTTGAGTTGGTTGGATGTACTGTAACGCTTTTTATTACAAAACGTGAACATTTTGTCTCTTATTATTGTGTGTTCTGTCTAGTCGGGTGAAGATGCTACACTGTACCTGGAGAAACGCCCCCTGTCCTCCCCTGTGCTGCTTTTTGATGGAACAACATGCATTGTGGCGGTGGGAAACACACCAGTGAGCACTCTCCCCTTGGAGGAATTTTGTGAAGGAATGTTGGTGCTGATGGCATATTACTACACTTTGCACTTGACATTCCCAAAGTGTGTTTCAACACTCCTCTCCGTCATCCAAACTGAGGTAATCAGTGATGCCATCCATGATCAAGATGCCACTAGTGCATACAAGAAAGCAATGGCTGAGTGGAAGTCATTTTTTGAAAAATAGGCAAATACCACGCAGGATATCATCAGGTCAGGTGGAGTTGTTTAGGTTTTGTTCTTGTTTTTGGCTGAGCGCTTTCCACTTTTACATCCTTACAGAGGACAGTTTATTTTTTACATAATGAAACATTCTTTGGAGCATGTTGTGGTTTAATTTAGAAATGTTACCATTATATACAGCAGTGTGTGAATGATAGTTATTTGTGAAACTAACAGAAAACTATTAACTCTGATTCCAAGTTTAAGTAAACAGATTTTATAATTTGGGGCCTTTAATGGCTAACTTTAGTTTTGTAGGGATTGTGGTGTAGCCCTATATTGTTGCCAAAAGTTCTTTGTTCAGAAATGAATAAATGTTGACGGTATCACATTTGTTGTGGTTGTGATTTTAGAAGTAAAAACAAAGCTGTCGTTTATTTCAAGATGAGCCAACTTAAAACAAGAAACAACGTAATCATACTTCACTTTTACTGAGTAGATTTAACTTGTTTTAGAAATAACATTATTGTTTCAATGCAAACATTTTCTACTATTAAGAATTCAAACATAAAATTTCTTTAAATGTAGTACATTTAACTTACTTTTTTATCATAATATTTTTTTATTCTAAGTAATTTTATCTCAAATTAAGCTATTTAATCCTTATTTTTAACCCTTTTGAATTCTCAAATGAGATAATTAATTTCTAGATTATAAAATCTTATTTCAAGATTTCTCACAAAGTAAAATTAACTCACTGCATGGACAGATAATTTCACAAGTTTTAAGTTTTTTTTATTTAAAATGTAGTATTTTTTTCTTATATTTAGTCAACCGTTTTTTGCAGTGTACGCACGGAGTCGAGCCCACTTTTTTAAACATCTGTTTAACGAGACGGACAGCACAAGCTTGTGATTGGTCAGGATGCCGTTGTCGTCTACAGCGCCGCCATTGCACACTCAAAAACAAAGAGCCAAGGATAACTAGCAACAGACACGGAGAAACTTGAAGAACACCTACAAAAAAACTCTAAAAACATGAACGTGTTTATTCCCCGTGACTGGAGGAGTGAAACGATCCACAGCAAGCGTTTTATTTGTAGACGGAAATGACAGGAATCATGGGTTTAGAGGTGGCGAGCCCGTGAAGAGGTGTAGGAGAATGAGACAAATTTGTCTGTTAAAAAGTCTGTTATGTACAAAAAACACAATATCATCGCACTATTTTGGACCGATACATGACAGGATACCACAGAACAGCTCTCCGCCCTCTGCTGTCCGGTCCGGGAATTGCTTTGCAACACTCCCCAGAAGACGGAGAAGTATGACAGCTAAACGTCTCCGTCCGTGCGTGCGTGTCTCTCCCTGTTGGAGCTGACAGAGAAGCATGAATCAGGCTTTATTGTAGCTGTCAATTGTTGCTTGATAAGCAGAAACTGTCACCTTCAAAACACCTCCTCTGCACAGGTGTTTCTTTGTAATTAGGAACAGGAATAAAGTTATAGAGGTCAGCAGGTAAAAGATCAGCTCAAATGAATTTCACCATTAGAACAAAGGATGTTGTGTAGGCGTGAGATCACCAAAGATGATAGGGTCTTTTAAATCTTACTTTCAGATAAGCTGATGACGTTCAAAACTTGCCTTGTCATTCCTACTTACCTGTTCTTCCCTTCTTGGAACAGGTTTTTTGACCTTAAAGGACGAGAAGATTGTAGGTACGGCTGTGTCCTTCAGGCAAACTCTCCCCTAAAATAAAAAAACATAATTACTTAATTAAAAAAAAAGAGATTCACATATACACACATCAGACAAGGTCAGCTTCTGAAGAACACACTGGTACACCAGAGCACTGTGTGTGTGTGTGTGTGTGTGTGTGTGTGTGTGTAAAAGGCATGTGTAGTGTTTGTTATTTATAAAGCATATGTTGTTGGATTTTATCCAGAATCGAGACTTAGAAAATATATAGTTTAATTACAGTTTGATTTATCTGACATCTGTATAATGTTTATTATTTTGTTTTTTCCCCCTAAATGCCTAACGTTTTAGTTTAACATGAATATTTGTCATTCATCCAAATACATAAAGTTACACATTAAAGACTGTCCAAAAATTAATTTGTTTCTCTGAGTAATTAACCATAGAATTAGATGGAAATTAATAACATGATTGTTTCCCATCTAAACAGCCCTAGTCACAGACAATTCAAGGGTGGGGAAGATTTTCTTCTAGTTACACAGCAATGTAACGTTGGTATGTTATACAGCTAATGCTTCAATTTTTTAAATCTCAACCAAAATATGAAGTAATGTGTTTGTACCCTGGAGTCCGTGGTGAAGTGATGACTCTCAAAGTGTTCACTGCACAAACGGGAGAATGAATTGGGAGTCCAGCACTCTCTTTTTTGGTTGCTCACCCAAAGGTCAAGCCTCTCTGGATCACCTAGAGGAAAAATTCATACAAAGAACTAATTAATTATATGGCTTTAAAATACTTACCGGAAATTACTGACTCGTGCGTACTGCAATATAAGCCTCACCCCCCCCACCCCCCCCCCCCCCCCCAAAAAAAGAGCGAGTTTATCTGATGGCATACAGACTTCTAACATCAAGCACTATCTACCAACTCACCGAGCTGCAGTATATCTGTGGTCAGGTACGGCTTGGGGAGAAAATATGACACGCCTTTCAGGATGGACTTCATCTTTGGTAGCTGGCAAAGCCGGGAAAAGCAGGATCTAACCACCTGGCTAATGTGGGAGTCCATCCGCATCTCTGGGTCCAAAACCACCCCCAGGTTAGTGATGGTTGGCTTCACTAAGCTGCAAAAACAGGGTTGCAGGACAGGACTAACTGCAGTGGGAGAGGGAGGAACAAATATTCCAGTTATAAATATTAAATATTTTAACAAATAAATATCAGAAACTGATGATGACTTTAACATTAGAGGAATGTTCTAGAACGGGTCTGGAACCAACGATGGCCCTTTGGATCAAATTTGGATTAAAAAAATAGCTCATGATTTTATTTATGGATGGAATCAAAATACACGTTTTAAGCATCTTCTCAGTATCTTCATGTTGCACGACTTTCCACAGCAGAAGGACACAAAAACTGCCAGAATTATGATTAGATAGATTTACGTTTTAATCTCAGAATCCCAACTTTTCCCAGAATCCTCACATTATTCTATGAATTCAGAGAAAATATACATTTTTCAGAGGTCTCGCTCCCTTGCTGTGGATATTTCTCAAAATTCAACCATTTTTTCTTTTCAAAAGCTTTAGTAAGAGTTTGGACTCTAAACAAGTTTTACTTTGCAGACTGCTTGTCTACACCTTCATCAGATCTGCTCATAATAAAACATTTGGGTTATATTTAATGTCTAGAGAAGATGCTCTTCCTGGGCATTAAGTTATCAAAAACAGATAAAAGGTTTTTTTTTTTACCATAATTTTAACTGCTATCAGCTGATAAAAATAATAAAAACAGCCTGATCATTAAAGGGGTGTAAGTGAAACCGCGCGGATCACACAAACCATCATGCTGTCTATATGACTCCGAGTGAAGTGATCATAGCAACACCTAAAGAAGCAGCTGGACCAGAAGCAGACCAGAACTCCTGAAACTGCCCCTCTCCTGATCTATATGGTGGATACCTACATGGAGGACCAGTGTCTGATGTTAGGAACAACATTCGGGCACCAATGGCTGCATGGTGTCACAGTTGTTAGCACTGTTGCCTCGCAGCATGAAAGTTGCAGGTTTGAAACTCGGCTGCGGCCTTTCTGCGTGGAGTTGCGTGTTCTCCCCATGCATGCGTGGGTTTCCTCCGGGTACTCTGGTTTCTCCCACGGTCAGATCTGTCTCAGAGTCCGAGAGCTACATGAGCGGTCAGCTCGCGCAGAAGCTAGCCGCCGCATCGGTCAGGCTGCCCGGCCTGACCGCTGCGGAGTACCGGATGGAACAATGGAACACAGAAGTGGCCCTCCAAGCGGTCATATTTCAACCCATTTTTATCTTAAATGCACTGGGGTTTACCCTTTTACCCATCGAAATATGCACTCAATTATTTTACCGTATTTTACATTTAAATTTCATGGTTAAATAAACTGTATGTACAGTCTATGGGTTAAACAGTACATGCTACATGTTAAACTGATAGTTAGCTAGCTACTTCGGTAAACAGCTAGTTTAAAGGCGGCAGTGACATAAAATACAAATATAGATTTTAACTTACCGAAAAAAATGAAGTGGAGACTCTTTGGACGCTCTATTAGTGAAATTAATATCACAGCAAGTCATTTTGTCCAACAATTGCACCAATAATATCCAAAACAGAATTCACAAGCACAGAGACTCAAAATCCCGACACAGTTTCCAGGAGGGACCGAGGCTGTACTGAGGCATTTCCACAGAGCTAGCTCTGTGGTCACGTGGGTCTGAGGCGGCGGTCACGTGGGTCGGATGCTCATCAATTATACAGAATTTTAGGCTTTCAATACACTTAAACAGAAGAGTGAGAAAAAAATTCACCCCCCTCAGAGTTGTCATGAGTATAAACTAGATAATTTAGACAAAAAACATGTTCTGGTACCAGGCTGTAAACATGTTTATTTCTGCTGTGAAATTGGCATTTTTAACATGGGAGTCAATGAGGATTTGCTCGCTTCTGGCACCAGCCCCCAGCGGATGAGGGTGGAACTGCAATTTTTCTTACTTCCGGGATGGGACCATTTTTAGAGCGGCATTGTGGGGGCTTGCTTATAGCCTATGTCCTGAGATGTGCCACTCTACCTGGTTGGGAACAAATTGAAGAGGCCAAGCTCAAGAAAGACTTTGTCAACAAATGTAGGGCCAGAGCAGGTTCTAAGGAGTAGGCTACTGCTATGATATACAGTATGTGGTCTGCTTTTTCGCTTATCCATTGTTGTTTTTCTCTTGTTAGTCATGGACCATAAGTGTTGAGACATTTCCTGCCAAGTAGGGTTGCAGGGATTACCTGGTTTGACTATTGACCACAAATGTCTCCAACGCGGCCTATAAAACAAAAAAGACAACAGCGCGACTCGCACCGACAAAAACAAAAGTGAAACTGAACATGCAGAAGCAGAACCAGTGACAAAAACCATTAGGACTTCTCCATTTCCAACTAGAAAGCGGTTGAAGTCGCCTGTGTAAGAATTTATCTAATATATCTGAAATATTTCCCACACGGGAGACTTTAACCACTTTCTAAATAGAAATGGAGCGATCCTGATCGTTATCACTGTTCTGCTTTTGCTGCGTAAGCACATTCAGTTCCACTTTTATTTTTGTCCGTGCAAGTCGCGCTGTTGTCTTTTTGTTTTTTATAGTCTGCATTTGAGAAGTTTGTACGGGGGGTTATCCGTGGTTAATAGTCAAACCGGTTAATTCCTGCAACACTATTGCCAAATTAGTTTTGGGATTTGGTTGTACTCGGGTTATAGGCAGTATTTTCTCGTGTTCGTTTTCACATGGTCCAACACCAAGTGGATTTGTTCCAGGTGCCTCTGCAGTATTGTTTGTTGTTGACAATCTGGAAGTATTGATAGTATGTCATTCTGATTGAACTTAGAATTATCTATCAGTTGTTAAAAAGTCAGGTGTAGTTTTTTATATATATATATATATATTAATCCTTGTTTGTAAAGTTAACATGGTTAAGGCCTGACTTCAAAGCAAGGGGGTTAGTAGACAATGACATAACTTTTATTTTTGTATTGAATTTAATTTTTATCTTATTTAATTCATATTTATGTATTTTAATGAGTTTAAGAAAAGTCAATACGCTGCTACCCAAATATGAATGGTGTTCTAATTGTGCTAACTAAATAAAGTGTTAGGCGCTTAAGTTTTTTTGTATTTTTTACAGTCAGTTATAATCACTACAGACTTACAATTACATTCTTAATTTCTTAAATTTCTCAAATATGGCTCAGATGGTTCTCATAGATGGCTTTGGTAAGATAATTAAGAGAAATAATGAAGACACGGAAGAGATATTGGACACACAATGATGAGATCTCATTTAGGGCTCATTCTTCTCAGATTTGTCTCATAAATTTCTCAGATTCATCTCATGTTATTCTCCTTAATCCCCTTTTAAAATAACAGAGGTAATTGAGATCAGAACCATACTATTATGAGATCTCTTCTGTTTATCCCACTTCTAAAGTATTGCTCAAACAGTTCTCTCAACTCAACCTCATTTGGCTTACTGATGTCTTTTCTCTTTTTAGCTTATCTCTTGCTCCTAAGGGACCCTTAGGAGAAATTATTCAGAAACAAATTATCACAGAATGAAACACACAAGAGATTCTCAAAATAATCTCAAGAGATGAGATTGAACAACTGATTAGCAACACATTTTTTCCTATGGGGCAGAAGCTGCTGCATTCAAAGCTGACAGAAACGGGGATCCGTGCGCCGCAAACCCTGCAATAAACCTGCGTATTTCCAGTACAGATTTGAACATGTTTGTCGAATGATTTTTGCAATAATCAGATTTTTATTTTACTTGCACAAAATGCAAGTTCTGAATTAAATATTATTGAAACGGGGACGGCTTGTCGTCGGATTTAAAAGCCGCCGCTCGTTAATTACGCTGTCATTTTTGAAGTCAGGCAGTCCAAATGACAGCAGAGAGGCCCGCTCGCTGTTGCACACATGCACAGTGGGCATTATTTTACCCCAACAATCCGAATGGCTGTGTACATGCACGTCAATCTGAATGATGAACGGAATAAACCACCTCTCTCAATCAGAATGGAATTTCAATCCGATCGGGCCGAATCGGATCAGAATATTCCGATTGACATGTTTACATGCAGAATTTTCTATCTGATTGGGCATTCAATCTGATTAAATATGCGCATGTAAACGTGGCTAATGTCTCAAACTGAGGGGTTCCACTAAACCTCTTTCCCTTTCAGCCACTAAAAGTGACACAGTTTATAGTTCAAATTATTTTAATCACCAGATGCCAGAAATTAAATATTTGGGTTGTGTCTAACCTTTCGATGCACGATTTATGAAATCTTCAACCATGAGTTCTTAACATTTATTATCATTCATCTTTGGGTGTGACTGAAAAAAATTTCAACAAATATTGTTTGTAACATCTAATAACTTGCTAATAATTTTACTACATGCCCACTAGAGATGAGTGAGTACACCACTTTCTGTATCTGTTCAACCATCTAAATTATCTGTGTCTGTATCTGTACTCTGGGTGGGCATGGCATAACCCAGAAGTGGGTGTGGTTTACATCAACACATTATTTTAAATCTGAAATTGATATGGATTTATCAGAAGTTGCTATGTGTATTGTTTATTTGAAAACTATTTACAGTGCAGCTGTCATGTTGGGTGGCAGTTTCTTGACCTACGACATGCAGAATCAATCACGGGAAACAGGTAAGTGTAAAAAGGATTTATTTTAAATGAGGAGCTAAAGAGGAACAACGGGAACTGAAGGCGCTGCG